CAAATGGCTGGACCTGAATTGCAGCATCAGAAAAAGCAGCAGGGGGGGACAGGAGGCTCCCCAGGATCTGGTGCTTAAAAGCTGGCTCCCTGCGAGCACCAGCTCCCGCCTGCCCCCTCCCCCTGCTGTGCTGAGACAGAGGTAGGAACGCTAGGAGGAGGGGGGTTCCTGCACGTAACTGTGACGGTTAAGCAGTGAGCCCAGGCTCATCGGTTAACTGTTAATTTGTTACACTATCTGATACTTACGTCAGCATCTGATTAACTCCTGTACTCCTGTACAAGGGTACTGAGTGGCATCTTTAAATGTGTTTGCTACCTATGCCCTTGGGTAACAGAAAAACTGCATTAGCAGTGGTAGCATGACCAGCCCACAGGGAAAATTTCTTCCAACCCCCAATTAGTTAGAGCCTGGTGTGGAAAGTTCAGGCTCTTCTTTCTCTATTGTTGAATACAGCCGCTCTCATGGGGTGTGTCTAGACTACAGGGTTTTGTCGACAAAAGTGGACTTTTGTCGACAAAACTATACCTGCGTCCACACTACCACTGAGTTCTGTCGACATAACGTCGACAGAACTCAGCAGTTTTGTTGACGCTGGGAAACCTCATTTTACGAGGCATAACGCCTTCTGTCGACAGACTTTCTGTCGACAGAAGGTGTTATTGCATGTAAACTGTCCTTTGCGTCTACACTACCATGTCAACAAAGCAGCTTGCTTTGTCGACAGAACTCAATGTAGTCTAGATGCTCTTTGTCGACAGAAGTTTTGTCGACAGTATCTGTCGACAAAACTTCTGTCGACAAAAGCCTGTAGTCTAGACGTACCCATTGTGTCAACTTGCGGCCTATATATAAGCTGGGGTTTTCCACTCCCCCTTGTTTTGGGACAACACGGCTCCCACCCCTACATTCGACGCATCTGTTTGTACCAGGAATGTCTTATCAAACTCGGGTTGGGCCAATATGGGGGCCTGGGCGAGCCACCGTTTCAATTCCTGGAATGCTTCCTCACATTGTCCAGTCCACCGCACCCTCTGGGGCTGCCCCCTCTTTGTTAAGTCTGTTAAGGGTGCCGCTACTGTGGTGAAGTGCAGTATAAACCGTTGGTAATATCCAGCCAGCCCCAGAAATTGGCGTACCTGTTTCTTTGTGGTCGGTGTTCGGTAGTTTCTTACCGCCTCCACCTTGTGTACCTGGGGTTTCAGCTGGCCCCTGCCGACAATGTACCCCAGGTACGTCACCTCTGACCTTCTGAAGGAGCATTTGCTGGGGTTGGGGGCTAACCGTGCTTCCGCTAAAGCCTTCAGGATGGCCCGGATATGCTGTAAGTGTTCTTCCCATGACATACTATAAATGACAATAACGTCGATATAAGCGGCGGCATACATTCGATGGTCGTATAAGATTTTGTCCATTAGACACTGGAATGTCGCAGCCGCTCCGTTTAGTCTGAATAGCATTGTTAAGAAATGGTATAACCCAAAAGGGGTGGCGAAGGCCGTCTTTTCCTAGGAAGCGGGTGTGAGGGGGATTTGCCAATATCCCTTGGTACGATCGATTGTGGACAGGTACTGAGCCTTGCCTAGCCTCTCCAGAAGCTCGTCCACTCGGGGCATGGGGTACACGTCAAACCAGGAAATAGCATTGACCCTTCGGAAATCAGTACAAAACCTCAGCGTACTGTCGGTCTTAGGGACTAGGATGGTCGGGCATCTCCACTCGCTTCGGGACTCCCGGATCACCCCCATCTGCAGCATCCTTTGGATCTCTTCCCATACCGGATTCCATAGTTTCTTTGGTAAGGGTCGGAGGGGTTCACGTACCTTCTGCCCTGAGGTCGTCCTGATGTGGTGGCTCACCCAGGGTGTCCTTCCCGGTTGCTTCTAGAGGACTGCTGTAAACTCCTGAAGTAGGCTTCTCACCTCCTCCTTTTGTTGTGTTGATAGATCAGCTCTGAGGGAGGCATCTTCTGACATCCCCAGGTCCCCTCCCCAGGGTCCTAACTCAGACTCTGCCGGTTCCCGGGTTATCAGCATGCTTTCTTGCGGTTTCCATTTTTTAATAGATTCACGTGGTAGATCTGTGTGCTTTTGCGCTTCCCTGTTAACTTAATTTCATAATTTTCGGGGCCCACTCAATGGAGGACCTCATATGGCCCTTGCCACTTGGCCATCAACTTGGATTTGGTGGAGGGCAGCAGCAACAGGACCCTCTCCCTAGGCACAAATGTAGGGCCTGTTTCGCCTGGGCCCGCAACCGGTTTTCTTTGGCCAGCTCCCCAGCTACCCTTAACTTCTTTCTCCGGTCCAGGATGTATGGGATCGTTCCCTTAACCTGCGAATCCTGCCCCTCCCAGTTTTCTTTTAGTAGAAAGAAAACTACTTTCTTTTAGGAGCTGTCTTCCGTATAACGACTGAAAAGGGGAGAAGCTGGTGGAGGCCTGTGGTACCTCCCTGATTGCAAAGAGAAGGGCCGGTAAAAAGATGTCCCAATCTTTCGGGTCTAGGTCTACAAACTTTCGTAACATCCCCTTCAGGGTCCTATTAAAACGTTCCACGAGTCCATCCATTTGTGGATTATACACCGAGGTGTGGATAGTTTTCACTCGCATTAAGCTGCACATCTCCACCATCACCCGCCCCGACACATTGGGACTCTGGTCATTTAATATTTCTTGGGGGATCCCTACCGTCGAAAATATTTTGACCAGCTCGATTGCTAACGTAGTGACTTGAGTATTCCTGACGGGGACCGCTTCTGGGTACCTCGTAGCATAGTCTAGTAGGACCATATATACTGATTCCCTTTCCGGGATCTCTCCAACAGGCCGACTAAGTCCAAAGCTATTCTTTTAAACGGAACATCGACCACGGGTAGGGAACTAACGGGGCCTTTGGCACCGCCTTCCCTCCTGCCTTCTGGCACTCTGGGCAGGATTCACAAAAGTCTTTCACCGCCCTATACACGCCCGTCCAAAAAAACCGTTGGAGAATCCTTTGCAAAGTTTTTTCCTGTCCTAAATGTCCCGCCCAAGGTTTGGCATGGGCCAAGTCCATCACCTGCCATTGGAACCGTGTTGGCACTAACAACTGCTGAGTCTCTTCGTCCTTCTTCAGCCACTTCTCTGCTCTATACAGCAGGTTGGCTCTTACCTCAAATCGGGACCCTTCTCCCTGGGGTGTACCAACTTGTGCCCACGCATGCATCAGGGATGGATCCTCTCACTATTCCCACAGGAAGTCGCCTTCAGTTTCCAGCTCCTCCAGCCTTGAGGTGGCGGGGCATGCCTCGGCGACCCGAACTTCTGGGGACTTCTCGTCTGGTCGGGGAACAAGTCGCCGAACGGGCGCCTTTTGCTCAGCCCTTCCCCATTTCTCTATTAGGCAGCAGAATCCAGGCCAGTCTCATCCCAGCACCACTGGGTATGCCAGTTTCAGGGCTACTGCCACCCAGCAATTCTCTTTCCTTATCCCATCCGCTATCCATACCTACCACGTGGGATAATTTTGAATGTCCCCGTGGATACACTGCATAGCGACGGGTCGCCTGTTCCGGCCCCCCTCTGGTAGGAGTCCCGCTTGCACTGTAGTCTGGTTGCACCCCGAGTCTATTAAGGCCAGTACCCCTTTCCCCTCCAGGCTTACCTGGACGGTTATCTTGTTGAGGTCACACCGCCAGGCTCTTCAGTCCGCTGCCATCATCCGTCCATACAAGCAGTCCATAAAGGGGCAATCATGTTTAAAGTGCCCCTCCTGTCCGCACTCATAAGAGGCACCCCATTTCTCCGGCTCCTGTGGGCTGGGTCTTGCTCCCTCCATTGGTTGGGGAACCTCCTCTCCCAGGTGCTCCATGGCTCTGGGCTGCAACACCTCTCCCTCTCCCTTCCAGGGCATCAGGGTTGGGGTCCACACTCCCTGGCGTTTTATAGGACGGACTCGCCCACTCACCAGTTTCGTACCTGGGCCTTCTCGTACATCTTTGACCCTGCCTTCATCGCCGTCGGCAGCCATATAATTCTCCAGGATGACTATGGCTTCCCCGAGCATCAAAGGCTGGTGTCTTCAGACCCACATCCTGCCATCCACTGGTATAATTTGTAAAAACTGGTCTAGCACGATCATCTCCACTATTTGTGTGGTTGATTTCTTCTCTGGCTCTAACCATTGGGTGGCTGCCTCTCTAAGCCTCTGGACAATGGCCCGAGGGCGTTCTCCCGGTTTATACTTCTCTGCCCAGAACCACTGTCTGTAAGTCTCCGGGGTCACTCCTGCCTGATCTAGAATGGCCTCGTTAACTTTGTGGTAATGCAAAGAGTCCCGGGCGAACAGACCTCTATATGCCAATTGGGCCGGGCCTGTGAGGTACAGGGCTATCAAGGTGGCCCGATGTTCTTCTTCGAGTGGCCCCATGGGTGCTCCACTCCAGGTGTCGGGTCCCATCCCGGCGCCGCGAATTGGAGAACTATCAGAGCCATGGTCCGCCGGACCGTGCATGCGTGGCTGCCCGAGGTGGTGTTCGCGCCTTTGATGTGTTGTGCGTGGTCTGGCTTGCTCAGTTCCTCTCAACTGCCCTCAGTCGCGGACGAGAGCTCCTGTTTGTCAGTTTCACTTCGCAACGGCTTTTCAAAGAAGCCTTCACATTTGTAAATAGTTCAGAGCCTGCTTAGTTATTTAGTTCTTGTTGGTTTCTAGTTTAAAAAAAAAGAGAGAAAGAAAAGAGAAGAAGAAAGAAGGAAAGTTTCTCTCAGACTGCGACTATCTGTAAAAAAAAATAAAATAAAATAAAAAAAAAAGGGGGAAACGGACTGGATCTCACAGCAAGTTAAGGAGACAAGCGGAGGAGAGACTACTCAATTTCTCCCTCCTCCTTAATTCACCATGCCAGGATCCCTCGGTTTTAAAAAATGCTCCATCTGCCGGGAACCTATGCCGGTATTGGACGGTCATGATTCTTGCGTGAGGTGCCTGGGTGAGACGCATATCCCCCAGAAGTGCACTCACTGCAGTAAGTTAACGGCGAGGGCTCGTAAGGATCGAGATTTGTGCCTCAAACTCATCCTTTATGGCAAGGCGCTGGAGTCCGATGCCGTACCTGCCTCTGGCATAGCGGCTCAGAAACGGCAGGCAACGTCTCCTGGGACGACCGTTACTAAAAAATCTAAGCCGTCCCCAGCGCGATCCCTCCCTGCTACCACCAATGTCAAATGCCCTGACAAATCATCGGGGTACCTGCCCCAGGGCACCAACGAGCTCCTAGAGTGAGGAGATCGCCTGAGCCAGGACTACAAGTGACAGCAGCACTGGCTCCGGCAATAGTTCAGAAGCCGGCATCAGCGGGAGCGTGCAAGCCGGCACCGCCAACAGCTGCTCTAGCGGCACCGGCTGGGGCGCTTTTAAACCCCCCGGTGCCGAGCCGGCAAACGTCCCAAGTGGCGCCACAGGCATACTCTGATCTGTCGGCACTGGGCTTATCCTCGGCACCGCCAACACTGCCCCCATGTGGCTCTCCATCGGCACCGCAGCCAGGCTCAGCCCCGAGCTCTCCACCAGCAGCTGAAATTGACAAGGCTTCATTGCCTTGTAAAGCTGCGGGGAAAGAAATCTACAGGGCTTTGTCCCCATCGCCTACCTTCTCCCCGGGACCGTCCCCTTCTCCACCGAGATACCGACAGCACCGGGACTATAGCCTCTCGCCTTCTTACCAACTACTTACAAGACCCTCACGGGGGGACACAGTTTATATAGAATCAAGACACTCGCTATCGCGTTCTCGCTCCCCCAGGAGGTCACCAAGGCACAGATCACCGAGACGGTCATCATGTCGCATCTACTACATCCGCAGTTCAAGATCTTCCAGATATTGTTCGCCAGTGCGGTCAGACCACTGCTATGGCCGCTACCACAGGGATGATTATGACTGCCCCTGCCCTGGCCATGCTACCCTATCCTATAGAGGCTCTTCATGTTCCTGTTCATTGCCCAGTGTTTTCTTCGCCTCCATCAGAAAACGTAACCATCCATCAGGATCATTCGGAACCAGAAGAGGGCCAATTGTCCGATGCAGAAGATCCTCAACCACACATCCCCCCAGCCGACTGTTCCTCCTCTTCTCCGGATGAGGCAGTGATTCCAGAAGATGCCCCTCTCTTGGATGACTTGAAGCAGTTCCAGGATCTGTTCAAGAGAGTCACGAACACACAGGAGATACAATTAATGGATGTACCAGTAAAGAAACATCGTCTTTTAAAAAATCTACGGCAACAACAGCGGGCAAAGATCGCCCTTCCTATTGATGAGGCCATCATGGAAGTGGCAGACGAAATATGGCAGACCCCTACATCAGCTGCCCCAGCTAGTAAGAGGGTTAATAGAAAATATTTTGTACCTGCTAAAGGACTAGATTTCCTTTTCAACCATCCTCAACCCAATTCCCTTGTTGTTGATGCGGTACAACGTAGAGCTAAAGCTCCCCAATATAAAAATGCATTCCAAGACAAGGATAATAAAAAATTGGACGTTTTTGGAAGAAAGGTTTACTCTTCGGCTACATTATTGTTATGAATTGCAAACTATATGGCCCACCTTTCTAACCACAATTTTGATAATTACTTGAAATTTACAGAGCTACTACAATATCTCCCTGATGCCAAGAAACCCTTGCTGAAGGCCATAGTCCAAGAAGGATATATAGCCTGTAATACTACTTTGCAGATGGCCATGGACGTGGCCGACACGGCTGCACGGGCCATGGCTACGGGGCTCGCAATGAGACGGTCTTCCTGGTTATCATCTGCAGGAGCCCCACGGGAGCTTCAAAATAAAGTTGAAGACCTACCCTTTGATAAGCAAAAGCTCTTCGCTAGTAACACCGACGAAGTTCTCCATTCTGGCAAAGACTCCCGTACCACTTTACATACCTTGGGAATGTACACACCTCCCTATAAGTGTAAGCGCTACTACCCTTACCAACATAGGTACGATTATGCGTTCAATAAGAATCAACCGCGTACCCAAGATGATCAGCGTTTCTGACAGCGTCCTCAACATAAGAGATCTCAACCGAACCGTTTGTCCAGTCAGCCTGCTCAAAAGCAGCAGATTTGACTTTTCTGTCGACGATACAAGCACGACTCCCACGTTCAACATACCACAAAATTCTTTTCATCTGTTTCATCATCGCTTAAAACAGTACCATCTTCACTGGTCCAATATCACTGCGGACAAGTGGGTACTGGAAGTGGTACAATCTGGTCTCTCCATCCCCTTTCTATCCATTCCCCCTACTACCCCTCCTACGCCGTCCCTTTTCAGGGACCCCTCTCACAAGCATTTGCTGAAGCAAGAAGTTCAGCACCTTCTAAATATCGGTGCAATAGAGAGGGTACCAAGTCAGTTTCAGGGGAAAGGATTCTATTCCCGGTATTTTCTTACCCCGGAGAAGACAGGAGGATGGAGACCCATTTTGGACCTGTGCAGGTTAAACTGTTATCTCAGGAAACACCGTTTCAAGATGGTGACCCTAAATGCCATCATCCCGTCGTTGAACAAGGGGGACTGGTTTGCAGTCCTCGACCTGCAAGATGCCTACTTCCACATAGCAATCCATGTAGCACACAGGCATTTTCTCCATTTCCAGCTAGGCTGAGAACATTTCCAATACAGAGTACTACCTTTTGGATTGGCATGCGCACCCAGAGTTTTCACGAAAACCTTAGCGGTAGTGGCTGCCCACTTGTGCAGACTGGGAGTGACAATTTTCCCATACTTGGAAGATTACCTCATAAGAGGCCAAACGTATTCAGAGGCCGAACACATGGTGACAACAGCCTTTCGGGTCTTTCACTCTCTGGGTCTCCTCATAAACATGCAGAAATCCTTGCCAGAACCGACACAAGATCTGATTTTCATAGGGGCAAGGCTCGACTCAAAAACAGGGCACCGCTGTAGCTACCCATTCAAAAGTTACTAGGAATGCCTCGGGATCATTCCTGGGGCCCATCTTCATGAGTCTAAGAGGCAGCATTAGGATGGAATTGGTCCCCAGTCCCTCGACTGGCAAGCTGGTGGGGCTCACTCCGGGTGCTGTAACCCACTGCTTGGACCACTGCTCCTGCTGCTTCTGCTGATGCTCCATTAATTCCCGTACCAACCATTTGCTACAGCAACTGTGTCTGCAGCTGCTGTTGCTGTCGCTGACTCTCGGTCAGCCATTCTAGCAGTTTCCCCAGATCCGTGTCTATTTCCCTCTTATTTGCCCTCACCAACAAAAAAAATTGTATTTATCTATCATAAAAAAAAATCTTTTGTTTTCCTTTTTTTTTTTTTTACCATACCCACATTCTCCACCAGTGTGGCAAATTCAGGTGTAGGGGCTAGCAGCCGTCCCCTTACTCCTTCCCCCTTGCCTCTGTCTTCCCCTTTCTGTTCACCCCACTCCACCTAGTATTCCCGTTTAATGTGCCCGTGTCCCAATGTCACCAGAGTTCCATAAGTCCCGGCACTGCAGTCCTTGGCCGTTCGTGCCCACTTGTGGGGTTGCCACCCGGCTCCGTCCTCCGAGCTCCCCGTCAGACCTTGCTGCTCTTCCCGGCTGGTCAGGTGTCTGGACGCTCCTGCGAGAGAGAACACAACCAGCTCCTACTCTCCCCTTACGCCCCTCCCCCTTTTTGAAATGTCTGTGCTGCGCTACTCAGTGTCCCCAAACCCCCAAGGCCCGGAGGCTCCTGGGTCCTAGCACCGCTGGGTTCGGGCAAGATGGCGCCCACACATGCGTGGCAGGCCCAGCATTCGCTGGCTGGCGCGCTTTGAACCATCGCATCTGGGCAGTTCGTAGTACGGGGATCCCGATCCCCGTCACGCCTGGGTCATACTCTGAGGCAGAAGTAGTGACATCCTTTCCTGAACTATTGTTTATCTTTAACATTTGCTATTATAAATCTGGATTAATTTGTGTCAATATAAATATGTAATCCTTTTTGAGTCCTCTGATACAGAGGCAGCAGCGTGGGGAAGTAGGGGGCTCCCTGGGAGTGGGCCTGAGTACACTGGCTGCTGGCCCTGCCCCTGGGGACTATAGAAAAGTCAAGTAAGCAATAGGAATTAATGCGGTTACTCAACTATTCAATTAACCGATATCTGACATCCCTTCTGGTTACTGCAAACCAGCAATAAATACCTCCATACGCTGCTTCTCGGACTTTCTCTTGGTAAGAATTTGTGTACGGGCACAGAACTTAATTGCTACTGAAGTAAAACTTCTAAATGAGAACAGTAAATTCCAGCAGCTCCCAGCAGCCACTTACTCGACAGTAGATACATGAATGAATAGAAGCTCGAAGGGGATTTGGCTGTGTTACCAAAGCATCTGTGGAAATGAGACTTTCTTCTCACAGAGACATTTTTCTAGGCAAGATTGTGTTTTAATTAGAGACATTCATCATGGTTCAGAGTTTGTATTTCATGCGTCTTTAGCAGCCTTCCAAGAGGAAGGCTAGAGATCAGTTTATTCTCCCATACAGGCTTCTTGGGGCTGCTGATCTGAGGGCCCCACATGATATAAACAGATAGGACCATGAGACATGAGTGAACCGCCCATTGAGAGGGAATCAATTATAGGGCATTTTTCTGGAGTAAATACAATCACTTTAAGTTAAACAATAATGTACATGTCAAAAGAAAATGAATAAAATGTCCATCAGACAGACTCCTTAGAAACACTGTGTCCTCTGAGCAGAAAGAGAGAAAATTTAAATCCTCTGTGAAACATATAGTTAATCTGCAGTTCTTAAGTAACTGCTGTGTTCTACAAGTAACATGTCAGAAATGGCTAAGAGTCCATGCACAAAAGGGGAGGTTAATGGATGGAACAGCACAAATGTTAGGCTTCAGTGACAGCATATGCTCATTAGCTGCTGTGTGGGCTTAGATACATGTCCCTAGTGTCCATTACAAGGTGGCCTCGTAGTAAGTGGTAAACAGACACAAGTCTGAAGTACTAGAAAGCTAATTATATTAAAAAAGGTTGACTCTAAGCTAGAGGGAGAGGTAGATATGTTGGAGGGCAGGGATAGGGTCCAGAGTGACCTGGACAGATTAGAGGATTGGGCCACAAGAAATCTGATGAGGTTCAACAAGGACAAGTGTAGAGTCCTGCACTTGGGACGGAAGAATCCCAAGCATTGGTACAGGCTGGGGATCAAATGGCTAAGGACCTGGGGGTTACAGTGGATGAGAAGCTGGATATGAGTCAACAGGGTGCCCTTGTAGCCAAGAAGGCTAATGGCATATTGGGTTGCATTAGGAAGAGCATTGCCAGCAGATCTAGAGAAGTGATTATTCCCCTTTATTCGGCTCTGGTGAGGCTACATCTGGAGTATTGTGTCCAGTGCTGGGCCCCCCACTACAGAAAGGATGTGGACGCATTGGAGAGGGTCCAGCGGAGGGCGACGAAAACGATTAGGGGACTGGAGCACATGACCTACAAAGAGAGGCTGAGGGACTTGGGTTTGTTTAGTCTGCAGAAGAGCGGAGTGAGGGGGGATTTGAAAGCAGCCTTCAACTTCCTGAAGGGGGTTCCAGAGAGGATAGAGAGAGGCTGTTCACGGTAGTGGCGGATGGGAAAACAAGGAGCAGTGGTCTCAAGTTACAGTCGGGGAGGACTAGGTTGGATATTAGGAAAATCTATTTCACTAGAAGGGTGGTAAAGTACTGAATGGGTTACCTAGGGAGGTAGTGGAATCTCCATCCCTAGGGGTGTTTAAGTCCCGGCTTGACAAAGCCCTGGCTGGGTTGATTTAGTTAGGATTGGTCCTGCTTTGGGCAG